TACATATCCCCTAGGGCAGTACCCGGATCCCCATACACTTTTAATGGCCAATAAATTGCATATAAGGCTTCAAAATGGGGACATTTAAATTTCTGAGTTCTACCCCCATAGACTTGCATTGAGTTCTAAGTTCAAGTTAGAACTTTTTCCATGTTTGAAAGTTCGAGTTAGAACCGAACACGGGGGTGTTTGGCTCATCACTAGTTCACACCAAGCCCAGGCTCATCCCTAGTTAGCACTGGGTTTAACCTATCTCCTGATAGGCATTATGTAAAATACTGCATTTAAAGATCTTTAGCAAAGGTACCAAGTATTCTATACTCAAGCTGTGATCCTGGTAATCTGTTGTTGGTGTGGATGTGTGCACAGGTTTCATGTTGCAAAATTGCATGTTCACTGTTGTCATTGTGATTAATTGGAATATACAGTCCATATAGTAAATTTAGTGTAATGTTGGCATTCACATAAGGTCACTGCAAAAGGCATGAAGACATTTTTTGCGAGTTAAGGAAAATATCTTCAACGTCTGCATATGGAAAGGGTTCCTTACAGTAAAAGGTGTTAACTAGTTCTGACCAGCTCAATAGATTTTTTTCTGAAAACATTTCTAAATGCACAAAATATAAACTGCCACTAATATTTTCAAAGAATAACACATAATTTTGATGCAGGGTCTTATCTGATTGACTTTTTTTCTGTGGTAACTAATTGGACCACACTTCATATATTTTGTTTGCATTGCTGTGGATCAACTTAAAGATTAACTTTCAGGGTATTCACTAAAGGGTGAAGAGTTTGGAGAAGGCAGGAGAAGTGAAATATCTAGGACAGCATTGCTGAACTGGAAAGTGAGCTGAATTGAAGAATGTTTCCAAATCAGCTATTTTGGCCTAGACTGTTCACTTCTCCAGCCTTCTCCAAACTCTTCACCCTTCTGTGAATAACCCTGTTTATCTTTGTTACCAAATTCAGGGTGTAACATGAAACATGGTTACATCCCTAGCCCTCCTTCCCTAAACATACCACTTCTTATCTGAATCCGTGTTTTTTTCTCCCTA